ATCGTATATAGTTACATAGAAAATGGGGCTAATCGTTACAAATTCACAAGAAATACTACAGCCAAAAGGCACAAGATAACTATTTGCGTACCAGCAGTGTGGTCAGAGGGATGGGTGACAGCGAAACTCTGGAAACCCAAGTGTGTACTTGAATGCAGTATCTCCTGCATACCTACATGTATGCAGGGGCAGGGTCCTGTGTACTTGGTCAAGTATGCAGGAGATAGTGAGTACTTGGTCAAGTATGCAGGAGGTAGTGTGTACTTGGTCAAGTACACACTAAAACCTCCATACATTTATGCAGGAGACTTAGTGAGTTATTGCAGGGACGAAAAACCACAGTTTCTTTAGAAGAGTACGAAGGGCGTATGAGCATGCGTCGCAGAACGCCGCAGCTACACCCAGAGAATGGCTACTTTCCATTAATATGGACGTAAAAGAAGTTCTTGAACTAAAGTAGATAGTTTTTATCCTTTTTGGATTCAAAAATGTTTAATTGAAAGAAACATACCAATTATATCTTGGTTCAATGTAAAACAACAAAACTAAATTTTCTTCCATTTGATATCGTTGCTTTAAACCCGTAGTTGAAAAAATGATCTTAAAGTAGAATTTTGTGTACTGACTTAAAGAAAGAAATTTGACTGAAGGAAACTTTTTCTTCAAATCAAAGAAGGCTGCAATGATTCAAAACAATTTGGTAGAGAAATAACTAAAATCAAAAACTTGTCGTGTCAAATCAACGAAACGATTCTCTGGATGTGGATAGAAGCTCTAGTACCCATCTGCATGGGGTACAAAAAGGAGCGTGCTCTATGTGTAAACTCCCCCTCCCCTTTCTCTTTGCCCCCTTCTCCCCCCCCCCTTTTTCCTGTCTCCCTCTCACTCGCGTCCAAAGAGCGGCTACAAGCATGAACTCCTGATATAAACACGCCAACATGTGCAATGTGCACACTCCTTATCGTCGGAGTGCACTGCGCCTGCTTAGCATAAAAAGACTGGAGGGAAGATACTCCCCCCACCCCACCCCCTCTCCCCAATCCCACGGCCATATACCGTCGACGCCACCACCTCACTTTTTCGTGAAGAAGCACCGAGCACCAGTGCCGGAGAGGGACACATGAGGAAGAGGGGAAATACTGCTGTGTAACGCATATAAGCATATTAATAATAAAA